ATTGAAAACTAGCAATGCTACATCGTTCACATTTCAGAATAGTCTCCGTACTTATCACCGCCCAGATTGCATCTTTTGATCCATTTTTGGAAAGAAGCAAACAATTTAAGGAAAAACTTGAAAAAAGCTAGAAACCATACTGGGGAATCGTTGAACCTAAAGCAGCCTCGCAGGAAAATACTTTATAGCTCAATTTTGCGAATAGACGGAAGTCTGCGGGCATATTGACAAACTCAACGATAACTTCTACCATTCCATCGTGAATGCTCACTGTTTTCTAGGGACGAAGCAGATGGCAGCCTTTTTCCTCAAATGAGCCGATTTAAACAATGATATCGGGCATGAGTTGGCATGTATATACTCATATAATATTACCAGATTAACATGAAATACTTTGGTTTGTTGAGGTTGACACATGAAGCATCTACATGATGCAAATTGCAATTCTCTCTATTACAGAAGACACATGAAAAAATTAATGAGAAAAACTTTTTCCAGCAAATTTATCGATAATGGAGAGTCCTCCCTCCACCAACGTCCTGGAAACTTTTAATGACATCCAGACATTCAAATAAAAGATTCAAAATCGAGAAAAAAAAAGGAACTGTTATAGGGGAGAAATTTCGGAAACCTGATGAGCATGGACTGTGCACGCCAGCTCTACGAACCTTGGAAAACTAATTAAGCGAAAACCCCATTGCAACATGAAGTCAACCACACTGCCATATTCGATTTTCCTTCCGTGAAGAGGGACCAGCGGCATGATTTTTTGTTTTTACTCCCCTCCGTACGAACGAAGTTGGTGTTTTTAATGCCGGCCGCACACCAAAAAGGCACTTGTCGGAGACGCGTTTCATCGAAATCGTACACATTCTTTTGTTTACAACAGAACGCTGCATACCGACGAAACATGCACTGTTTCGTCTGCGGCAATGTATATTCAAGACACGTCTACGCTCAATTTTTCCCTCGCGTTGCATCCCGTCCCGAGCAGCAATGGGCGACGTGCTAAGCCACTTGGCCACTTCCCCAAGCTTCCATGCTCCCGCAGGAATAAGAGAAAAGAGCGATGCGGCTGTTTCCTCGTGCACCAGTGCGCAGTCCATCATCGCCGGTGCATTCTATTCATGTCATGGCCTGGCCAAAGGTCTTCAGAAGTGCTCGCTAGAGGTATGGCGACTCGAGCACACGAAGTTCCTGGGACAGATCCTGCACCCAGATGGTGGGCGTGTTCCATTTTGCCCGATCCTGCGTCGTGCCCCACAAGAAATGCAACCAATTAGGATGTTCTCTCTCGTTCCGGATGTTCAAAAGAGTGGATGATGCCAGCTATACCCAATCGGGCTCTTTGGAATCGGAATGGATGTTTAAGATTGCATCTATAGTAGCTTCGCCCACTCTTCCGAACTAACCGTGCAAGTTTCAACATCTGCACGGGATATGCATGATTCCACTGCGAGCTGAGAGTGACGTCAATGACTGAAATGACTGAATGATGACTGAAAGGCATCGAAGGACGCCGAACCGCACGTATCTCGCATGTTACAGGTTCTGCTCACGGGAAATATTCGCGACAGAGTCGAAGAGAAGTTGGTCCCCATCGTGGGTATATGCGACACTCCTTCCTCCCACCATTTAAACGTTTGCAAATGACAGTCCTAAACTAACGACTAATTGATGTAAGAAGTCTTGAATGCTTTCCATTGCTGGATTCTGTTCGCTGACGTCAGTCTCCTCTCAATGACGCACAGGCGGGTCTGGAGCCCACGTGTTAGAGATTCTCTCCAGATTATATTACGATTACCTCGATGACGTCATGATAGACTAGTCTATGGATACCAGCGTTATGCCGTCTATTACCTGACGCTGAAATCGATTCTTGCTGGTCCTCTGGGGCCGAAGAGATAACGAAAGTTTAAGGAATATAAATATCACGATGAGCAAAATCAAGTCTTTATTCATGAGAGGCTTTTAAGTTGCGATTTAGAGGACAGAATCTGGAGAGCGAGACGAGAGAGGAGGGGGAAAGAGGACAATGAGCATTCGAAAAAGGGGCTCGAACTTGTGAACACGGTTCCAGAGAATGGCACAGAAATAGGTCCTCCTGCAGCGCGAAAATGCTTCCTCTTCGAAGGAAGGACTTAAATAGGAAATAGACTGCGAACAATTTTTGCGGGAAAAAAAAAAACGAATGACTTAAATTTCTTAACGGCACTGGACACGCTCTGGTAGGGGGCATTGGGAAGGAACGAGCAAAATGAGACACGAATGCCATCTGTGGGAATTTTTGTCCTTGTACTGGCCTTTCAACGTGGAATGGAGTTGCGAGATCTTTATTGTCTCGTCTTGCAGACCTTGGCTTGGCCTTACACACCCACGCATCCACATAAATACGCGCATACTCTTGTCTTATCCCTTCAATAGTACAGTCGCCCTCAATTAAAAATAATACCATCACCGCAATAATGCGGTTATCATTTGATTGAATGCGTGCCTGAAGGACACGTTTCCGATACTGCGTCTCTTTGTGCGCGGCAGGACATTGCCTAAACCCCACATCTATTCTGCATTCACCACCGCCTCATGAGTGCCAGATGAAACTGGAAGGAGTGGGGAACACTGGCAAGAGATTTACTCATATTCAATAGTATCACTTTGTTGCCTGGTAGGCACAGGTAGGATGTAGCGAATTGTGGAATTTTTTCAAACTAAGACTTTATTATTCGGTCTTTTATGGATGTACTTCATTTGCTTTACAAGGCTCATCGCAAATTATTTTTAAAAAAAAAAATAAGTCTGTGTTGTTGTATTGATCTCCCTTACCGCGAACACAATAATATGTCTTATAAGTGAGTATTTTTGATGAAACTTCATCTTTTTCTTCGAAAAGGAATTATCCTGACGGAAATCTCAGCATGTGGCAATGGTTTCGCCCACGACGATTTCTTTGAGTCGCAGGCTTTTTTTGCGTCGCAAGAAGTCAGACGTAGGAAAACCTCGTTACTCTCCGATGGTTGAAAGACAGCTTTTCCAATGATAAACTGGCTTTCCTCGCCCTTGTTTGTCGAAGGTGATTAGGAACAACCGATGACTTTATCAATAAATAGGATGTATTGACTCTATTCTGGCACTTTTTAGGCCAGCAGTTCCCAACCTTTTTTGACATGGAGACCCATATTTTTCTTATTCAAGACTTCACGACCCATAACAAAGGCTTTTAGCTGAAAGGAACACAGGATAGAAAACCACAAACTTTTGTGTTTTTTTTAGGCAGACACAGACGTTTTCCATACACATGTGCCACAACTACTAAACTTTTTTCCCTACGCGACCCAAACCAAAACCTTGCATCAACCTGGAAGTGGGTCGCCCACCTATGGGTTGGGAACCGCTAGAGTACTTTTCCTCCAGCCCAGTTTTCTTCTCTCGTCGCTTGGTATCATAACGGTCCAGGAGGCTCTCTCCTGTGGAGAGGTGCAATCCTCTCTCCCATCAATCTTTACCGAATGTGAGAAATTGGAGCGAAAAGACGACAGAATCTGTTCCTCTGCCATGGTCTCATAAACTCATAAAGAAAAGAGTTTCCCTCGCAATCCCGGCCAGTCTTGTTCGCACCCACGTTCGAAGAGCACATTGCCTTTCCGTCGTCTCTCACCTCCATGACACTGGGGGAATGAAGGAGAGGAGGAAAAACTGTTTGAGTCGTCCTCGTGGGACGGAGCGAGGAGCCGTCTCTGCAGTCTTTCAACTCCATTTTCTCCCCTTCGAGAAAGCTTCTTTCACCTCATGAATAAGAGAGCCTCCCGAGCCTCATTCAACGGAGGCTAACACGGCATATATCCGTAACGCGGAGCAAAAAATTCGCAGAAAAAAACGCAATAAATGTTTTCTTACCAGGGCACGATTAAAACAAATATGGTTTTTTCAATATTGTTTAAATTTGATGTTTGAATGACTGGTGCGGTTAATGACGTTAAAATTAATCATCCGCATCGTCATATTGGTTTGCGTAACCTCATTCGCGTAGATGCAACACGAGTCCATTAAGAACTATGATTAATTTATAGTTAAACGGATCAGGTGCACTGTCACATGTCACTCATGGAATCACGCGATATTAATCTCATTACAGGATGAAGTCCTACGAATGTCGTTTGGGCTGTAGCTCGGGGGAGGGCGAACTGTCGAGTCTCACCCTGAAGACCCTTCTCTGGTCTCCTGAATTTCCTTCCTCTCATCATGCAGAAAAAATGAAGGATTTTTTTTTTTAGGGCTGAAATCATAAACGTAAATTGATATTGTACAGGGGCTACCTCAGGAGAGTCGTGGGATATAAATACCAGTCCTTTCACTGAAGAACACCTGAGACGTGGAAGCGGGGAAATTGGGGACGTTGGCGTGAGGGAGTCGCCAGGATCCGTCGCAGTCGCCGTCACCGGTCGACCTCCAGCTCTGTCTCCGCCAGTGCTTCTTCAATTCCATCCGGACCTCCCCGTTCCAGAAGCAGTACAAGACCGCCACGCAGAAGCCCTGCATATATGCACAGGTGACAGTGCCCTCGCCGTCGTCTTCCAGACACGATAAATTTCATGTCATAATCTCCGATGAAGACATGGAATTTGTCGTGCCTCTCTTCATCATCTCGATGGCAAGAGACGGAAGAAGAGACGGTTGAGAGCTTTCTGTAATTGGAATCGGTCTTTAGGGAATCGAGATGTCAAGGACATTCTCTGACTTTTGTCCCATAAAGGTATTGATCTTCACTTCGATACATTCCTGACTATTCTTGCCTATTATAATATCATACATTTTAGATACAATACCATAGGGAAAAAGAGTTTCCTCCTCCCCCCTCTGATTTTGATTCCTCACAGCAACTGCAGGGAAGACTTCTCAGAATCCGAGGAAAATAGGGTAAAGTGCAGCAGAGTGCGTCCCTCGGGAAGCAGGCAATATTCCATCCATCAAGGCGAGGAATGAGATTACGGGGAACGTAATATTCAAATGACCTGAGAAGAAGCGAAGACTTGATCGGCGAAGAGCCACGCCACTTCCATCCCCTCCATGGATTCCCTTCCCACCGAGTATGAGAAGCCCAGCAGGATCATGTAAGGAACTCCGAACAGAGGCACCAGCACCAGCGTCGATTTCGCCCATCGCCTTCAAATCCATCTTTCATCCTTCATTTCTCATCATCCACAAATAAATAGACACGGGCGGGGGAGGGGGAGGGAAGGGATAACAGAGAAGGCGAAAAATTATGCTTCACTTGCTGGCTACATTTCCTCTTAGCTACGATCTCGTTGCCAGTTTCTTTTTTTTTTCTGCCCACCCTGCATATTCTCCTGGGACACCGGGCATGGAAGTCTATCCTCGAGATTCGATACTTCTTTATTAATTGGAGCCCCAAACTTTCCATACCTTTGAGTATGATAATATGTGATTCCCGGAATAGGGAGCAATCTCATATCAGCCTGGAGAACTGACTCTTCCATCTTTTCTTCATCGCTCTACCGAGGCTCCCTCGAGGATCCTCATGTATTTTAGAGTAAATATTTGAAGACGAAGAAAGCGTTTCTCGAATGCAAAATTTACCGCGATCGCAGCTCTGAATTCCGAAAAAAGAGCCGGAGAGTGGACCATATTCTCTCGAGAAGTTCGAGAGAGAGCGCGGTATTCATTTTTTTTTTGAATGGGAAAGTATGTCCATTTGTGAAAAAAGGGCCAAACCACGTCAATATGGACTGAAAGATTTAGTGCAACCTGCCTGGGTCTCCGGAGAATAGGAATAGGAATCGTTCTCCAACTTCAACGCACCTGTAACTGTGCTGGTTCGTGCGCTCGTGTTGCATCGAGGAACGGAGTTTCAGCAGCACCACCCGGGAGATGTTGAGGAAGAGCCCGAAACTCACCTGCAGTGAACAGAAGCGGGGAAATTGTCTGACACGTTCCAGCCGTCAGCTGCAGCGGAGGAGAGAAGAAAAGGGGAGAGAAAAGCGGATACAAGGAGGGAGTGCTCGGGGGAAATGGAATTTTTTTCGATGTCTTTTAGTGGACAGATGTTCTTGTCGGGGAGAAAACCCTCATTCATATGCAATGCCATGACCCTTGGAAAGACCGTTTTCTCCATCGCGTGGATCGTATCTGCTCCACACGACCAGCATTCGAAGCTTTTCTTGAATTGGGACTCAACGAGTTCCAAGAAGGCGACCGGAACTAACGAATAAGGTGAGGACGCACGACAGTTGAAATGGGACGATGAGGTGATCTCTCAAAGGGTGAAAGGGTGGGTCCAACCTTTCGGCATCGATCCCTCGGCTCCCCCAACCCCAAAACGATATCCCCCAAAACAGGTGTTTCACCCACCTGGAGTGGGTTTCCCCTGTGACTCATCTTTATCTCATTGGCGCAGGGTGCCGAAAGCCAAAGAGCACCCCGCAACCATTTCGCAGCGGTCTGGTTAATACGGCCGGGAAGCAAAGGCTTCGTTCCTCTTTGCCCATTAAACATGAGGGGAAGATCTCGTGATATCGGCTTCTCCGTCGTGTGCGCGCGGGCATGCGGGAGCACGCGTTTCGATCTCGAGAGAGCGAGACTCGCGCAGGTTCCACTCATCTCTTCCGTATGCGTTCTTTTCCATGCATTTAATTATCGTCTCAAGGCCGGATGAATCGTGTTTTCCTTGGCCGCGATCGCATTTACATGCGACACGGGAAATCACCCGCGAAGAGACATTACACTTCCCCTCTCCGCTCCTTATACCGATTACTGTCCGGGGAGAAGTCGTAAATAGAATAAACTAAAGGAGAGAGAAAAAAAAAGGCAGGTTAAAATTAGGCAGCCTCCTACGACGATGGAGATGACAATCGGCGCCCTGATGATCCAGAAGTAATCCGGGTTCTTGTTGATGACCCAGCAGGAGTTGTCGTCCAGCCCCGCCCTCATCCCAGCCCAAGGCACGACCACGAGGACCGGGAGACCTGCAACCGAGAGCCCCCGTTCCCATCACTCGAGCGACGAGCGGCGGATCGTTTATCCCGAGGGAATTCCCTACCCCAGCCGACGAGGACGTAGATCAAGATCCCCGAGGTGTCCGTGACCAGGGCCATGAAGATGAGGTTGTGGAGGTAAAGACCTTCCATGAGGATCCACGTGTAGTTGGCCACGAGGGAATACTGCCACACTGTCGTTATCAGACGACACTCCCAGGTCTACAAAAAAAGGGGAAAAAATAAATATTTTTAAAGTTCTAATTGATGAGCGAAGAGAGAGGGATATTTTTCTGAATCGATCTGTATGGCCTGGCTCGTTTCTAATCAGTGGATCCCAGGAGGCGTTATATTGATAGAGACAACATTGGGTCCCCCTTTTTAATCAGACGGCTTGACCTTTGTATTCCTTTCCCTTTTTCCATCACGAAGGTCCGGGACTCACGTTTTGATCTCCAGTGTAAGTGGCATCGCTGGACAAAAAATCCCGCGGGAACAGATCCTTGCCGAAAGCCATCGACGCCCGCAGGATGAAGGACGCGAACAAATGCAAGTGGAGCCAGTTCCTTGGACAATGCAGCCTCCTGCAACAGCGGCATTTCCCCGGTCGAATGTGAGAAAAGGCAAAGCGGCCGCGAAGGCGAGAAAAGGGACGATGAGTCTGACTTGAAGGAGATGAGGATGAGGAAGGCGATGACGAGGGTAGAGAGGGAAATCCCGTAGCCGACCTGAGAAACCCTTTTGATCACGGGGACCCACGTCTGTTTTCAGAGAGGGGGATAATCAATCAATGCCTTTGCTAAACTAGTTATCTCTGTATTCATTTGTTTTCTCTCATATCGGGAATGATTTTCGAGAGCGAGAAAATAAGAAAGGTGGAACCTTGAGGAGGGAGGAGTTGATCCCCTCGCCCTCGATGAACCCGAGTTCATCGAGGGCGTGGGGATTGAGGCATCGAGAGTAGTTGGTCCAGGAGGAATTCTGCTCCGGATGGATCCACCATTCCCCACGTTCTGTGCAATCTCGATACACCTTCTCCTAAGTACGGCAAGGGAGGATGCGATGGCAAACGTTTCATTATTCAATAACGAGTTTCAGTGTCCAGCCGATAGGCTGGATGAGAGGAGGAACTCGAGGGATTTCCAGGGGTTCCCTTTTCCTTCGTTGCAGGGTGTTTGCCTTCCATCCCGAAAACGTACCTCGAGAGAAGCCTAAAATTCCACTTTGGATATTCTCAATAGCGAAACCATCACACACAAAAAGGCAGAAAGTAATGGAAGGATGTCTGACGGTACCCGAGAATGGAAACCGAGGACGTAGTCCGGGCAAGGCAGTTGCATTTCCTCGCCTGGAGGGGTCGGGGGCCAGCAGAGCAGTCCGTCCCACGCCGGTTCGCATTCCCTCTTCGCCTCGTTCGACTCTGCAAAAGCGAACGCCGCGGCCGTCTCGGTTTAACTGGGATTCGAACTCGGTTCACGCCCTCAGAGGGGCTTCGTCTTCGTCCACGATCGATATATTCGTTCCGGAATCTATATTTGGTGTTTTTGCGCAGATAAAAGTCGAAACTCGTTTTCTTACGGAGGCACTTAGCCATTCAAAAGAGTTCTCGCACTCTCATGGTTCTGATCAAAGGGTAATTTAATTTTACTGTTAAATGACGTTCAAAGACCGAAAAGATGGGAAAGGCTGAGTCTTCCCTCGTTCCCGAAGCCCCGCCCCTCGGTTTAGAGTTCCCATTCGGCATCTCTGGTTGCTTGCAGCATCATCTCGTGTCATTGCATGGACAATTTGTCACACTCGTGGGCCCCAAACGTTAAATCCTCCTTGGGTTAACGGTCCTTTAAGAATACATGGACTCCGAGGGGGGAAGGAAATAGCTCTTTCGCTTTAAAGGCCTCGTTATCCCCC